GACACAACCTGCTGCAGGAACAGACCAGAAGAAGGCAAGAGCTGAGAAACCACTTCAGAGGTGAGAAAACAAACAGCTGAGAAGTGAGAAGAGGTGGGCCAGCTGGAACCAGCTGAGGCTGTGAGAAGCGTCAGCCAGAGATGCCAATACCCCAGCACACCACGTAAACTAGGGGAGGATGCTGGTGACCAAGGGCACAGGCTCTTCCCAGAGAGGTCAACTACAGGTCACAGCTGCCATATAGAAAAACAATCTGGTATGGCCAGAAATTCTCATTTTTTTCTCAAGAGCGCCTACAAATCTAAATTTTAATTTTTAAAAAGTCCTCCATTTACAAACAGTTGGTTCAACTGTTTAGTAACATGGGGCTGGCCAAACAAATGTCATATGCAGCCCAAGATCAGTCCACACAGGGCCCCAGCTTGGAACCCATCTCAAGACAGGGAACAGAATAAAAGGTTTGGGTCCAAGATGGTCTTTAGCCCAACTTCTGAGTCAGCAGATGATATTATCACTATAAATAGCAGATAACTTCCGGCACAATCTCAGTGAACCTCTTCTCTGACCAACATGAGATTAACTAGCTGCCCATCACTGGAGGTTCTTTGTTTAAACTTTGGTTTTATGTCATTCTAGAATGCATTAACATGAGCCCACTAGAACAACCAAGAATTCACAAATTCTCCCCAAATACTGATCCTTTCGAACCCCAGAGATCCTTTCAAAGTCACATGGAGTATAATGGAACCTGCAAATAGTTACTAGCTCAGAAATGATTTATACCAGTCAGAGAAGAAAAGACCAGTATACCACAATGAAGGTTTTGGGACCAGGTAGGTATTCCAATCCTGCCAAAATAACCTAAAAATTTAGAAATTATAAGACAATCTTTATAAGTTGCTGCCCATTGCTAAACAGGTAGAAGATACATGTAAGTGTTACAACACTTAAAGTAAAAACAGTACATGTGTCTAGATTTAAACTTGGGCATCTGCTTGCCTGTTTCAGGAGACCCATTCAGAATTTGTCTGCCTAAGAAAATGATCTCCCAGGAAGTTCCTTAAATTTCTATAATGTTAAGTGGCCTTCCTTGCCTAGGCTCTCACTTAGAATTAAATATTTACTTTCCTTACAAGCCATATGCTTTTCTTCTAATATCTATTTATTTTCCATGTTTGGTACATTTGACCATTTTAATACTGTTGATATTTAGTAAAATTTCTGCCTTCCTGTCCCACCCCTTTGTCTTAGTATACAATTTACAATGCATATGGAGTTGGGACTAATGCTTTCTAAAGGGGACATTTCACTAGGTTAGAGCATATGAACCGCCACTAGCCACCTGTTGTGACCTACAGAACAGACAGTTTTACAGGGTTCAACATAAGAGTATTTCCCTATGAGCAAGAGGAACAGACTTGAATGTTTTAGTAGAATATCAGCTACCCTAGCCCAGTGCTGTCTAGTCAAAACTTTCTGTGACAATGGGAATGATCTAAATCTACACTAACCACTATGTGACTACTGAGCACTTGAAATGTGGCTAAGAAGCTTAATTTTTTTTAAATTTCATTTTGTTTTAAACTTAAGTAGCTATATGTGGCTATAGTATTACACAAAGCTGGTCTAGACAGCAGCTCCTTCTGACAAGTAGGTGTCATCCACTTGTTCATTTTTTCATAAAGAAATGAAATTCACAGTGTCTTGCATCCTTCACATTCAGTTCCCTGTGTTTTGTAACTATAAACTGTTCATTTTCCTGTTATAATTATTGTACCTGGGGATTCGGTGCATCTACAATAAAGACTTACTTGCTCATGGACTGACCCAGGAGCACTATCTATCTAGGCTGACTCTAAAAGAATCTAAAATTGGGCTTATGTTTCCCAACACTCAGGTCATGTGATCTGCATGAGAGACAACTTGTAGTACCCACATTTCAGCTGTGCCCTCTCACCTGCCCTGGTTCTAGGATAAGGAAAGTATCTTCTTACAACACATTTTCAACTCACTTTACACATTCTTGACACTGAAACTCTTAATTTCAACCATCTAGTTCTGTGTCCTCTCCTATTTAATTACTGTCCCAGGAAGGCAGAATTATACTGCCCCAAAGAATGTTCAGAAGGCAGAGTCCATGTCACCTAGCAGCTGAAAACAGCACAGACCCTGTTCTGTTGGGCCATCCTGTTCTCATCAATGGAATGAGTGACAACCAGACCTACCTTGTAACTGGGGCTGTTGTTAGGCTTAAATGCACAGCAAAGTCATACAATCAGATTCTAAATAGCAAACCTTAAAAATCAGGTTGGACTCAGCTTTATCTATCCCATAAAGGCCTCCTTTAGTCAATATTAATTATGAAAACCCTCTGCTCCAAAGATCCCTTTCTTGCCCTCTTCCCCCAGTCTTGGCCTCCTCCAGCCCTCAACTGGCCCATGAGCCTGACAATCCACATTTGTGCCATTCCAGGAAAGGGAAGTCTTACTAGGTCTTAACCATTGCAGGTCCAGGATGTATGGGAGGATAGCACAGTCCCTATCTTCATTATTTCTGACTGACCTTTTTTTCCCCTCTGGAAATAAGATCTTAGCAAAGAAAAATCAAATGAACTCCTGACTTGACTCCTGTGACATTTATCTACTAGTTAAAGCTTCCAGCGATTAAGCAAAAAAGAATTCAGGGTCCTACACTTTAAAAGGTATCCCTGCTACATAATAAACCAATATTCCAATTAAATTATTTGCATTCAAACATTTAAACTGAGTTGTTGCTATACAGTTATTGCAGCCTGTAAAGTTAGGGCTCATTTCAGCAAAGAGTAATTACTCAAATTTGTCTCAGTTTGGGATTTATTTAAAACTCTCATCAACAAAAATATTCATACATCATACTCTTAACTTCTTAGTCTTTGTAGATGGTCAGAGGCTGGTTCCTAAATATTAAAGGAAGAGTTCTGTTATAATAGTGCTCATAGCTCCACTCAGTGGAAACCTCTGCTCCCAAACTCCAAGATCCTATTTTACCCTCAGTCCCCCAATCTTGGCCTTTTCTATACCTCAGCTGGCCCAGGAGCCCTGCAATCCAGGTTTGCACTGCTCCATGTAAAGGGAAACTTACTAAGAGGACTGCTATGACCACTCCTCCTTTGCTTAAATAGAGAGGGAAACGGTATCTCCAGGCCCTCAGAACCGGAAGCTGCTTCTGGAAGGGAAACAAGTTGGCAGACCACAGCGGGCTGACCTTTGGAAAGTTCATAAACGAATTAAGACAGCACACAGGTAGCATGCTGCAGGAGCATGGAGATTTCTCTGGGTGTCAGCAGGAGATCAAGACAAAAAAGAGCAGTTGGAAAAGTGTAAGGTGGCCGGGTTGTGGGGTGAATGCTCAACTGTACAGAGCTGATGTAAAATATACAAATTGTTCAGTGTAGGATGTAAGACCCAACTGGACCAATTTCCTTAAACTCCAGAAAATTACACCCAGGGACCCTCTAACCAGAAGGTTTAAGCACACAGAATGAACAGCTGAGCTAACAGTGACGTGGGAGGCTCCAGGAGTCTCCAAAGTTTCATTTCCGTGGTGCTTCCCAGTCTATTCTGACCTCTGACCTCTGGAGTTATTGCCAAACTGCCTTCTGTTTGCACAAGATCCCAGCACTTCCCTGCATAGCTCCTCTGGCCCTATGGTGAGTGGGTGGTACTATCTCCAGGCTACAGATAAGGAAACCTCGATTCAGAGCTGCTAGGGGACCTAAACTAGAGGTGATCTAGGGGTGGAATCCAGACCTGTGACTTCTACAGCCCTGCGTGGTCCACAGCAGGCGAGCAGGAGCCAAACCCCACCTTGCTCCAGTGTCCTGCACATCCCAACAAGAGCAGTCAACACTTGTTGACTACTCACTCCCTACATGGTCTGAGTCTCCACAGTTCTCTTAAGTAAAGGAGATCGAGGTCCCGTTTTTCAGACGGGGAAACAGAGATCCCGACCCAGACTACGGCTCCTGCTTTACAGTCCGAGTAGGAAACCCTGAAGCATCCCCGCACTTCTTACTGGAAGCGCGGGCCCGTTGCCCTCCCTGCCCCGGGCGTAGCCAGGCAGCCTGGCAGGGCCAGGGCGGGCGGCGGGCCGGGTGCCAGCGCGCTTGGCCGGCCGGGCCGGAGGTGCCCGCTTCCGCCCGGGCCTGGCACCGCTGGCTCATTCATCGTAGCCGCGGGCGGAACGGACAGGACAGAGCCCGGGCTGCCCCCGACCCTGGCGGTGCACACTCGCACCGGGCTCCGCGCGGCCCCGCTGGAGAAACGGTGCCGCGGCCCCGCCGCCAGGGGGAGCAGGGAGCATCGTCCCGCACTCCGGGAAGTTGCCACCACCACTGCCCAGCGTCCGGCCTCGGACAGCACCCGCAGCGAGCCCTGTGGCTCCGGCCCGCCCCGTCGAGGCCGTCCCAAACACCAGAGGCGCTCCCAGGCCGCGGCCCACAGTGGGGTGCGCTGGACCTGGGGTCGTCCATTCAATCAGCCCTGTTCCCCGGGCCGGTCAGGCCTGCCCAGCCGTCTTCCGCCAGTCCCCCCACCCTCCGGTCCGGACTCCATCCCGGCAACGTCATCCGGCGGCTTCCCGAAACTTAACCCCTTCCTCCGCCAGCTGTGCGCCGCCCCGCCCCGCCGCCAACTTTCTTCGCCCAACTTCGGAGCGCGCGAGAGGGAGGGGTCGCCACGTCGCGCCGCGGGGCCACCGCTGCTTCCCGACGGCTGGGCGTGGGGGCCGCACAGCAGGGCGCGCTCGGCCGAACCCCCTGCACGGGCTCGGCCTGGCACACCTACCACCCCGAGTCCCACCCGAGGGGGCCTTAGCGACGGCTACGGCAGGCGGGCCGGCGCCGCCGGGGGAGGGGCCGCCAAGGAGACGTGTCACTCGCAGCGCAGCCGGCCCGGGAGCCCCGACGGCCCGGCCCGCGCGCCGTCGCCACCGCCGATGCAGAGCCCGGCCAAGTTTCTTACCTGCAGCCGGAGACGCGGGAGGGAGAGCAAGAGGGCAGGAGCCGCCGCCGCCGCTGCCGCCGCCGCCGCTGAACCAAAAGAGAGGAGCCGGCCGAGCCTCCGCCGAGAAGCCGCCCCTGAGCAGCTGCAGATTTCACGACCCCGACGCCGTCCGCCCCGTCCGTCGTCCGCTCCGGCCGCTCGCTGGCTGCGTGCGCGCGTGTGGAGTCGTGGCACTTTCTGCCTCGGAGCTGGCGAACGGCCCCCTCCGCCGGGATCGCCGCCTCCTGCCTTCCCCACCCGGGCCAGCCATTCATCGAGCCTCCTCTCCCCATTGGCCCGTTCTCCGCCACTCTGCCGGTCACTGACCAGTCAGGATGCTGAGGGCCCAGCCACGGCTGCGGCCATTGGGCAGAGAGGCGGGTCTCCACCTCGGCCAATGAGAGAGGGAGGAGCTGCGGGGGAGCTGCTGTGGGCGGGGGCCTGAAGGGGGCGGGGCTGCGCAGCCCTGCTCTGGGCTCTGCGCGGGGGCGGGGCGAGTGGGCCCCGCCCACCAAGGGAGGTCGTCGACCGGTCCCGCCCACCTCCGGGTCGCAGCGCTCCTCGTCTTGGTTTACTAGGAGCAGTCTCCGCCTAGGCGGGTCGCGGAAGGTTCGAATCCCTGTGGCCTGGGGCCTGCGCCTCTAGACACCGCCCGGCTGAGGTGGCGGTGGGTGTCTCCCGAGCAGGATTGCGCAACCAGCAAACAGCAAGGAAAATGCTTTATTTAAACACAACTAAGTTCACCCAAAGCACCGCCCGCTCGGGCCTCAGGCTGTGAGGACAAGTTCTGCTGGGGGTCAGCTCAGGGAGGTTAAGTCCTTATCTTCAAAGAGATTGCAACCAGAACCAGAAAGAATTCGCTTGAATAAATGGAGGAATTAGGGTGGAAAGGCCAGAAAGTGCACAAGGAATTGAGGTGGAGTCACGCACCCTTTGTTAGGGAGGGTACACACAGTCTGAGATCGTACACGTCCGCAGAGCAATAGTTACCATCCACCTTGTGTCAGTTTATTCCGGGTGATGGGGCTGGCGAAAGACTCTGACCCAATATGACCCAATATGCACCTATATCCCGGGAAACTGAATAGTTGGCAATACTCATTACAGTGATTTTTCCCCCCAAATATTAGCCAACACCCCTCTCTTCATAACCAAATCCAATTAAAATTATTTTAAGCTTGGTATTTAACCATTGTAACAGTGTCTCTTAAAATTAACCCTTTGAACTTGAGCAAAAGCCAGCTTCTTTGAAATGTAGATTTCTAGAAGACCAAAAGGGCTGTGGCTGCCCACCTGCCACACACCACCCTGAACCCTGTGGCTGAAGAATCTCCTGCCTGATATTTCGTGGACAATCCTTCACATCCACCTCACTCCCATTTACTCTTGATACTGTATTCGTTATTGTTAGGAAGGTGAGGAAAACAAAAAACCTGCATGAGGGAATACAGAGGGGTTAGGTTGAAATTAAATCATTCATTCCTATTTTTAATCTCAGCAGTTTCCTAGCATATTAATGATTAATCAATGAGAATTAACCGGGATTAGCTTTCAAAGAGCAGACATTTTCTAGCAGTGAGTCTGACTTGAAATAAAATTCAAGAATCCCAGCTCTGGCAGGCAATTGCTGAGCATGTATATACTCCTCTAGGAAAATCACACCCTCCTCTGGGTTTTAGGGAGGAAATTCATTCACTCATTCATCCATTCACTCACTGGTGTTGGTTGAATGCCTGGGATGCACTACCAAGCTGAACAAGCAGCCTAAAGTGATAGGTAGATCCAATAAAGACAACCACTGAAGAACCTGTCCAGGGGCAGGATCTCCTTTATTTGTTCACTGTTTGTTTAAAGTTTTCCCAGAAGCAGATCCTGGCAGGAGGACTTGGTTCAAATATAGTAGCCCCTCAATATTCGAGGGGTATTGGTTCCAGGGTCCCCATGGATGCCAAAATCTAAGGATGTTCCAGTCTTATATAAAATGGCATATAGTGTTTGCATATAACCTATGCACTTCCTCCCAGTAATCTCCAGATAACTTAGAATACGTAAAACAATGTACATGCTATGTAAATAGTTATGATGCTGTATTATTTAGGAAATAATGACAAGGGAGAAATTCTGTATGTGTTCAATACAGACACAAATTTTTTTCCGAATATTTTTAATACTCTGTTGGTTGACTCTGTGGACATGGAGCCTGCAGGTATAGAGGGCTGACTGTACTTCATCTGGGGGACCATCTAGAAAACAGTGGTGGAAAAAAGAGAAAGCAGGAGCCAGTAAAAAGCACAGTGTCAAGCACACAACTGCTATGGGCAGCCAGGGCCTGGTGGCACTGGGAATGCCAGGACACCATGTGAAAATGCCCTGGAGATGTCCCATCAGAGATAGGTTATTGTTTTATCTATTTCCATGTCTCATCAGTTAAGAGCTTCTTCTGAGGGGACTTTAACTTATCCCACCCCTCATCAGCCAGAGAAAGCCTGGCAATGCTTGGCAGAATGGTAAGTGCCAGATGACATAGCAGGGGCCACCATAATGTGAGTTCTCTATGTGAGAACTGGTGCCTGCACAGAGGAGAGTTCAGTAAACAAATGTTCTGTAAATATTGTCCAAGGAATGACAGGATTGCAAAGTCCCTAGGAGTGAGGGATGTTTACAAAAAGGGCCTCTCTGTCTGTTCCTTCCCCTAATTCAATATTTGGGTCAACCTCAATACAACATTTCATGATGGAAACGTGGTCTGGTCTAGTCTTTGCCTTTCCTGTGTCCCAGTCCCTCATCCAACACCACTGCCTGCTATGCTGTGGTACCTCCCACCCCTAGTCTCTTCATCCCTAGGCACCTTTAAGCCTCCCTGCAACAGGTTCTGTCAAAGCTGGTGAGCCCCCCATTTCCACCCGTCATGCCCTGATCCCCATAGCCACTGTTTCACTCCCATAGCCTCATCCTTAACCCTGATCAGCCCATCAGTTCTTCCCCAGTGTAACTGGGAACACCAGAGTCAGCCCAGGACTAGCTAGACAGAAGATGCCTTTCAGGGGAGTGAGAGGGACCTCCCCAGCTCAGTTTTCCACCACAGGCCGGAATCTGCTGAGTCTCATCCTCTAGCCCCATGAGGAAGAGCCCATCTGACGGTCCCACCCTCCATGTGCATCTTCTCAGTGATGATGGGTCCAGGCTAGAGCCTGGGGAACAGGTCCCTACCATCTAAGGATGACAGTCCACTGACCAGCTCTCAGGTGTAGACAGTGATTTCAATACAAAAAGGGCAGTGCAGTCAGAAAAGTGAGCTGGGAACTCTGGGCAGGGGGGTAATCTCCATACTGAGGGAAGAAGGGAGTGAGCAGAGACTTGAAGGAAACGTGGAAGGCATCCAGGTCACAGAGTGTGCATCTGGGGAGGAACAGCATGGACAAAGGCAGCGCGAAGGAAGAGCAACTGTGTGGAAAGACCTGAAGGGCGAGGGAGAGGGTAGAAAGAGACCAGTCTCCAAACATAATTAGAAAGGAAATAAGGGAACTTTCTTGGAATGATGTAAATATTCCATATCTTTTTTAAATCATTTTTACATTTACTCACATGTGTATACATTATTTGAGCCACTTCCTCCCCTCCCACCGCCCCCCAAATGTTCTGTATCTTTATTATAGTGATGGCTACATAGCCACGGTAGAACTCATCAAGTTGGGCCTTGAACCCCGGGGCTCCACTTGCTAGGTAAGCACTCTACTACTTAAGCCATGTCTCCAGGTAAAAGGGTAAATTTGATTTGTAACCAAATCATACTTCAATCAACCTGCCTCAACAAAAAGACATATTAGATTTTAGTTGTGTATTTTGAGCAAATAAAACATTCTTATTAGGAAAAAAAAATTAAACATACAAGAATAATTACTTATCATGATCTATTAATTCATGATAGTGCTTTGCTATTACTAAATTGCAAATATTATTTTAAAAGAATAGGAAGAAAGACAGGAATATATCTTATAACCAAAAGAGATCTGGTTTTGTCAACAACTACAAATATGTAGAGTTATCTAACACACAGAACAAACCTTACAACCTGAATATATATGGGGACTGTGGAGAAGGGTGGAGTGAGAGAAGGGGGAGGGGAAAGGAAAGGATACTGAGGGGTTAAAAGAATGGAAGCACCTGCATATGTACATATGAAAACGCCGTAATGAAATCCACCAAACACTGTTAGGGGGCGGAATATAGTGGAGGGGGTGAATGTGTTCAAGGTACAGTGTACACATGATGGAATTATCACAATGAAATCCCCTCGTATTATTAATATATGACAAATCAAGAATTTTTTAAAAAGGAAAAGAGAACAATCCTTATAAGGGAGGTACTGTCATTTCCATTCTGTTTTTGAGGTGCTGGGGATCAAACTCAGGGTCTCACACATGCCAGGCAAGAGTTCTACCTCCAAGCTACACCTCCAGCCCTTAATGCATTTTTTTTCTTTTTTGAGACAGTCTTGTTTTGTAGCTCTGGCTGATCTGGAACTTGCAGTCCTCCTGCCTCCACCTCCTGAGTGTTGGGATTGCACATGTATATACCACACCTGACCTATTAGCTCCATTTCAGAGATGAGGAAACTGAGGTACAGAGAGGTTTTTAGTAACTGTCCACCATCACAGAGCTAGTTAAAGGAGCAGCTTTTAGTCACAGGGTCCACACCCATTACCACCACATTCCTTGACTTGTCTTGGAAGGTGCTCTGTGCCTGAGGCAAAGAGGGGCGGTCCATTGCCCATAATCTTCTGGAGATGGCAAGTCAAGGAAGGGTTTGTGATGGATGACATCTGTGATCATTTCCTCTACATGCTCTTTTTGGGTAACTGTGACTCAATTAGTTTGGGCCCACTGGGTTGGGAGACCATCCAGCTCAATAGCTCAGGTGAGAGGTGACACAAGGGCTTGTATGGGTCAGTGCAGGGATGAGGCAGTGCAATTGTCCTTCATACGGGTGTTTAGATGGTGAAGTAAATGAAGCTTGGTCACATCTGAGTGTGAGGGAGAGGGAGGAGTCACAAACTGGTTTCTGGCCTGAGTGACAGGGACATGATAGTTTCACTGCTGGGGCAGAACACTCAGAAAAATGACCAGGTGGGAGACAGGAACTGGGTGAAATGCATTTTACTTGAACCTGTTCAATTTAAGGAGCCTGAGGGAAGTCCATATGGAGATTACAGTCATGCTTTACTTAACAGACATACATTCTGAGAA